TGGAGCTCTTCTGTCCTCTCAATAAATCCTGCTTTCTAAAAAAAGGGGGGGGGAATACCATTAAACTAAAAGTTAAAAAGATCCTGAGAAATGTGCACAAGTCAAATCACATAAATTTTAAAATTTAGATAAAATGGAAACTTTTCTAGAAAAACATAATTTACCCAAACTGATCCCAATAGTGATGGAAATTCTAAACAAACCAATTTCCATAGTCAATTTAGAGAAAACTGTTCAAAAACCTAACCCACAAACATCAGAGCCAGATGATTTCACACAGGAATTCTAACAAAATGTTAAAACAGATTGGATTTTGACCATACACAATAATAGAACAAAAAAGAAAAAGAAAAAAAGAAAATCTTAAACTTCATTCAGAACTTGCATTGTTAACATTAAAATTAGCATGGCTTTAAAAGATATTTTATATAAATTGTATGATAAAGCTTATTAGTAATTACAGACATGTTAGGAAGAATCAATATTTTCAATGTAAGCGGAGATAAAAACATAAAACCAAAGAAACTAAGTAATATCCTATTAATGTTACCTTGAATTGAATATATCAATATAAATTCATGATTTTTAAAAAATATTTCCTAGCCTTTTCCACTGAAATTGGGAAAAAGATGACACAATCCATATATCAAAATATTTTTTTACAAAGCAATGAAAGAAGCAAATTCAATGGAAAACATAACATCAAATAAGATAACCCAACACAAAATATATCATTTATTTAAATAGTGTAAGTTTACTTAGAAAAACAAATTCTCAGACTAGACTGCAAACCCAACTATACTGTAAGATAAGAGATCTACCTAAATGATACTAAGAGGAGTTGAAAGTAAAAAGATGGGCAAAAGCATCCTAGCAGATGCAAACTGAAATAAAGCAAGAGCCACAAGACAAGGCTGGATTTAGCAATAACAATAAAACATTAAGCAAGATGAAGAGCAATACTTTATAAGGATAAAAGGTACAGTCTATAATGAAAATTTAAAAATCTTTATGCAGTCAAAACAGAGCTAAAAATTCATAAAACAAAAGCAAAAGAAAATACAAACAGTAAATTGGCAGGACCAGGAAATTCTCATTGTTGCTGGGAATCTCTAGGGCTATGATGGATCAAGAAAACAAAACAAAATACAAGGGATACAAGAACTAATGATAAAGTTAACAATGTATATGTAGTGGAAATAAAGTGTCAGAGATAATGAAAAAATTAATTCTGTAATGTAATAAAATACCAGAAATACAACAAAAAGCTAAATACTCATGTCATATGAATATTGATACAAAATTAATAAATAGAATAACACAGAATTCAGAAGGAAAGTAAACAATATACCATAAGCAAGTAGTAAATAAAAGAATGACATAGTATTAGAAATTCTATTAACATTGCTTCCATAATGATAATGTCAGAGGCAGAAGTAGAATCATCTTCATAGATGCTAGAATGATAAAATGTATTGCTATACAAAAAACTTTTAATAAAGTAGAAGACATGAATACTTCCTAAACATGATAAAAATAATTACCTAGTCATAAGCCAACTTCATGCTTAATATTCAAATACAATAATTTCCTTTATAAATTTAAGCAGTCACTCTAGAAGGCAATCTGGCAATATCCACCCTGAAAGAGACACATACTTTTGATCTAACAATTTCAGTTCTGGGAATTTTTCCTACTTTGTTTACAAATTTAAAAATGGAAGAAAACAATGGGATGTTCAGCAATATGATACGACTCATAAAAACGTACAATGGAATACTAGGTGGTCTAGAAAAGGAACAAGTTAGACCTAATGTGGTAATCTACAATGATGATCAAAACATATTGTTAAATAAAAAAGCAAGGCCCAAAATAGTATGTATAATATACTCCCCATTTCTTTGAACAGGTGTCCTCTTGAACAATATTTCTTTAAGGGTTTATAATAGGGAGGGGAGAGAGGGACTCGGAGCACAGGATAGGAAGGAGACAACTTTTCATTGTCTAAATTTTTGTACTACTTGAATTTTTATCATATACATGTATTATTTTTCAGTTGACAAAAACTAATATAAAATAAATGTGAATCAATGAACATGGAATATTTTTCCATTTGTTTGTGTCATCTTTGATTTCTTTGAGCAGTGTTTTGTAGTTTTCATTGTAAGGCTCTTTCACGTCTCTGGTTAGGAAGATGCCAAGGTATTTGATTTTTTTTTGTGGCTGAAGAAGGAAAAAAATCATGGACTTCACAGCAACCTGGATGAACTTAAACTCTCTAATACTGAGCGATCTATCACAGAAATGATCTCACTCATAAGCGGACTTGAACAAAACCCCAAGTGCCCATGCCATAGGAGATAAGATAGACAAGTGGGACCTCATCAAACTGACAAGCTTCTGCAAAGCCAAAGAAACCATCAAGAGAGCAGGGAGAGAGCCCACAAACTGGGAAAAAATATTTGCCAACTCTATGTCTGACAAAGGCCTAACATCTAAGATCTACAAGGAACTCAAACGTACTGAAAAGAAAAAAACAAACAGCCCCATTACAAAGTGGACAAAAGATACGAATAGAAAGTTCTCAAAAGAAGACATACGAGCAACCAACAGATACATGAAAAAATGTTCAGCCTCACTAGTCATCAAAGAAATGCAAATTAAAACTACACTAACCCCAAGTTAGATACCACCTAACCCCAAGTCAGAATGGCCATCATCAATAACTCAAAAAATAACAGATGCTGGAGAGGATGCAGCGAAAAGGGAACACTTCTACACTGTTGGTAGGAGTATAAACTAGTACAGTCTCTGTGGAAACAGTGTGGCAATTCCTAAAAGTTCTAAAAATCAACCTTCCATATGTTCCCGCAATCTCCCTACTGGGAATACACCCAGAAGAACTCAAATCACTCTATAAAAAAAAATACCTGCACACATATGTTCATCAAAGTATTGTTCACAATAGCAAGAACATGGAACCAACCATGCTGCCCATCAAAAGAGGAATGGATAAAAAAAAAAGTGGTACATATACACAATGGACTATTACGCAGCCATAAAGGACAAAATCATGAACTTCGCAGCAACCTGGATGGACTTAGCGTCTATACTGAGCAATCTTTCACAGAAACAAAGAACTGTGTATCACATGTTCTCACTCATAAGTGGACCTTGAACAACTATCATAATACTATAAGAAAAGGATTGACAGTAGCAGGAAACTGTGGGGGGTGGGAGGACGGGGAGATGGGATTGGCAGTAGTGGAAATCTGCCTGGGGAAGCGGGGGCACACCTCATCAACAATGAATATTTGTATACCAAACCTGAATTGTACCCCACAATTTTAAAATAAAAAATTTAAAAGTTAAAAAAAAAGGGAAAGAAAAGGATTGGCAGTAGTGGGAAACTACCCAGAGGAGGAGTGGGGGGAAGGCGGGATTGGCAGTAGTGGGAATCTGCAGTGGGAGGCACACTTCATCCACAAGGGTACCTGCATAATGAACATTTGTATACCTGACACTGAATTGTACCCCACATCGTTAATATAAAAAAATTAAAAGTAATAAAAAAAAGAAATGTGAAAATTGCAAAATGCTTGGAGAAAGTATTTTCTTGCCATATGTTGTAAAAATTGAAAAGAATAATTTATATGTTCACAACAGAGAATATAAACCCTGTTCTCATCATTCTGAATACAGTTTAGAAAGGGCTAGAATGCTACATCTTACTTTAAAAACAACAAAAAATGTGAAAATAAAAAAAATTTATCCTAAGAAAATACTCCAAAATTCAAGAAGAAAAAAAGACAAAGAATATTCAAATTTGGAAAAGTTGTAACAAAGTAAGACAGAATTCCCATCACAAGAAAGGAAGTTAGAAAGATTTATTAGAGAAACAAATAAAAGAAAATCTCAGAAAGCCTTCATGTCTAAGAAAATCATCATGTGTAAGGAAATGAGAATGACCAGAGAAGATACAGCATCACCTATAAAGAATTTTTGCCAAAAACTTCCAGCTTACAGAAAATACAGAGAAGCAATGAGGATACAATAAAATTCATAATCTCAAGCAATTTATAAGAAAAATGACCGGGCCTCTTCAGCATGTCAATATCATGAGGAAAAAAATGCAAAATAGAAACTATTCTATATTTTAAAAGACCTAAGAGATATAACCACCAAACAAAAGAGGTGATCTTTGATTGAATCTTAATTTGAGCAAACAAGCTCTAAAATATATTTGGTGACAACAAGAAAATGTGAATATGGTCTAGTTCTTGGGGATCTACCATGGGTAAAGATCGAAAGGTAGTATTATACTGACTAGTAAAAGGAAACCAGATAGAGGACACAGAAGCGTATATGTTTAAAGTTATTTTAGGTGGTAAAAATGCTCTGAAGCCTTGCCACTATCTGGGCTTGAAACAACAGACATTATGCATTGTAGTAAATGTTTTCATTCTGCAAACTAGTAATCTCATTAAAATGAAATTACACAAAACCTAAAACTTACAAACTGCTAATTTGCATTCAGGTATTATCTCACTTTGTTAGTCTTCTTAATCTTTTCTGTGTTTGCATGTGCTCAGGCTCGATGAGATCAAAGAAAACAGAAAGAGTGCTCCAGGAAAAGATTATATCTCCTCTTTTATATTCCTTCACAAATTTTCATTATAGAATAATGTTAGGGCATAAAGTAAATCTTGCTAATTTTAACTAAGTAATATATATATGTGTGTTCACACTGAATGTTAAGCTAAATGTATGCTGTGAGATCTTGGTAAAAAAGAAGCAGTAAACCATACAGGACAAACAGATTGATTTAAAAGTGCTACATAATGAGGTTCAAAGGGTAAAAGACATGTTTATGAAAATATGTTGCTGTATAATTTATTTTTCAGTAAGAAGAAAAAGCCTCTGTAATTTTCTATTTGTATCTATTTTTAAAATTTGCATTAGAATTTGTATTTGTGAAATTGGTTGATATAATGACTTACATAATGATTTTCCTGGATACAACTTTGCCTGAGGGTAACCAGGGATCATTTTTTCATCTTTAGCTCTAAGATTTTCAAGTTCATGTTTGATAATGAATTGACATTCTGCCATTGTGAGGAAATCATCATTGTTATCTAAAATATAACAAAATTTTTAAGTTATTTTTCTCAGTAGTAATCAAAATAAAATTAAGTCATAAATAATAAACAACATAAGAAGTAACCAAAGTATAAAACTGGTAAATTAAATACAATATAAAGCTCCTTAGATATTTTATAAGAATTTAAAAGTTCTGTTATTCCTTCATTATGTGAAATATATAATTCTTCAATCATTTAAAGAATTATTATATTATATGATACAAACATCCCAACATCATATACTTGATCTTATTTAGTACCAATGAGTAGGAGGCAATATGTTCTTAAATTCTAACAACACAGTATTTTTAACCAGGGAGAGAACTAAAGAAGTTTGCTTATATGGCAAATTCTCCTCCTTCAAACCCTCTAGCCCATTCCACTCCCTTCTGGAGTCAAACAACCATCCCATAAATAAAAGAGAAGAAAGTTTGATAAGAAAATAGTGGCACCTTTTGACAGGTGAATCTTCTTAAATGAGGTAAATTTCACCATGAACATTTATTCACTAAGGTACAAAAATCCAGAGCAAGTAAGTCTGAATAAGTCTAAACCTTCTAACTCTGAAAGCCCTGCAGGGGATCAATTTGATTCTGAAGACAAACTTCCTTCCTGATATTGTATCAACCTTGGCTTTCTCGGTTCTTCCCAGAAAACATTCTCTGCTGGAACCTGCTTTGGGTCTTATCCAGAAACCATTACCCTACCACATTCAGTAGAAACCAGAAAACTCAGGAAATGAGGTTTCTAAGATACTGAACTACTTTTGTGTTTCTTATTACAAGATTTTTCAATTTGAAGCCAGTGAATATTCACCATCAGAACTGGAATAAAATAATATAAGTCAAGTTACATGTGTCCTCCTAATTTATGTTCATCTACCCCAGGGGTGGCAAAGTATGGCCATGGGTCAAATCTTACCTGCCACACGGCTTTATAAATAAAGTTTTATTGGAACACCTCACCCATTCATTTACTTATGCTCTAAGGCTGTTTTTTTTTTTGCTCTACTATGGCCATGCTGAGTAATTGCAACAAAGACCATATGGTCCACAAAACCTAAAATATTTACTATTTAGCCCTTTACCGAAAAAGTTTGTGCCTCTTGACCTATTCATCAAAAACTTATTTTTGATAAGTGGATTTTAATAGAAACAAATAATTCGGAGCTTACCATCAAAACCTTTGAAGTTCTGCCGGGTTCCATATGTGAAGGTTCTCATGGTATTATCATTGCACTCTTTTACCAAACCCACTGCCTCTGCTCCTAGCAACAATCTAATGTTGGAGGCACCAACAAGATATAAGTTCTGATTTTCTAGAGTCTCTTTTTCATATTTATTTAACAATGGTCTAAACAACAACTGGGCACCTTCAAAAACAAAATATAAGCACAATTTTAGAAAGAGACAAAGTTTCAAAAATGAAAACCTTCTAAATAAATATAATGTTTCTAATTTGGTAGAAGGAAATTATACTAATTTAGATCAGTCTTCCAAGTAAATAAGAAATATAAGTAAGTTGGGGATGACAGTTCTTTATAGTTTTTTAAATAAAAGGAAACACTGAAAACATGTAGCAATAAGTAGCTTGCTACTTACCCAAATTAGAAATAGATAAATGACAAAATACAATTATTTATAAACTCTAGATCTCTAATTATACCAAGTAAAAATATAGAGCAAAGGATGCAGCTTTCTAATATAAACATAATAGACCAAAGTTTTAAAACTTAATTTGGAATAAATGTCCCAGCTAAAAAAAACACACACACAAATGTAATACAATTACACTGAACTACAGCAAATTTTGTGAATGCTATCTATAAAGTAATAAGAAGAAATATAACTTTTCAGTAATTTTCCCATAGACTTCTATGTTCAATTAGGTTTAATGATATTTTTCTTAAATAAGTTCCCAAAACATTAAAAGTAGATGTTATAATTTGATATTGTATAAGTAATTATTATGAAAAAGATTATGGAGAAAAAGAATTTTTTCTAAATTTTTATTTCTACCTATATCAAAAATTTAAGGTACATTTATTACTTTACTATTTACCCTTTAGAAATGATTGACAGGAACTATGAAAATACTAATCAGATGGTAAACCAGATAATGAACAGAATTTATACTTCATTTATCAAATAGATTAATATACCAATATTAATGTATTATGACACTATTATCTAGGTAATTTTAGAGTACAGGTATTAGAGGTTTCAATAAGCAGAATTTACAGAAATTCTGAGCAGCAGGGTTGACTGCCAGCTTCCTGCTGCACACCTCAGAATGTCCCATCCTCACACAGATGCCAGCTTCCCTCAGCTGCTCTAAGTCATTGGCTGGGCATGGGGAGGGCACTGGAACAAGGCCAGTACTGCTCAACATGGGTTTCCTTTAAAATGCAACTTTTAGCCTGGCTGACAGCTTCTCAAAACTGTGCTGTGGTCTGAGGCTCTTCCTTCCTCCTTCCTGCCCTCTCCCTTTACACAAGTGTCAGACATACAGTAAAGCCTGAAGGCCCTCTATGCCTACTCCTGGTCCTCCCCCTTATCTTTTCACAAATGTTTTCCTCAGTATACCTCGTGTATCAAATTCTATCTCTTACTTGCAAGACCCAAACTGACAGAGTGAGTTTGTGGGGAACAGTACTCCTAGACATTTCTAGAGGAGTAGAAATTGGTTATAACCTTTATGAAGAATCATTTGTCAATAGCTTGTTTTGAAAAAGAGCAGTCCATCTTCTTCCCCCCAATTAACTTTCCACAGAAGCAATGAATTCCAAATCACCCAGGTAAATCCTTTGTTGTTTGCTTTCATGTCACCAAATAACATGCTTGTAGAACTATTTTTTGATTTTTCAGTCTTAAGCCTTGGAAGACATTGTACCTTCACCATTTCCAATCACCATTCCCATCGGCCAATTCTCATAATGTAGTTATAGCAATCTTTTGGTTTCAACATTAGTCAGTACTTACTTTATTATGACTTCATATGTTATTTATAGCCGAGTAGTACAGTATGCTATTATTTTCCTTTCCTATACTCTCCATGTTCCCAAAAACCACTGTCTAGTTTTATCATTTGCTTAATTATGTACCTATCAATAATGTAATCCCCTCAGCTCTCTGACAATTGTCTAAATTTCCCCTTGATAAACTGACATGAAAAATACCCTAACATCATCATCTTCTTAGAGAAATCTTTCTTCACTCTGTTCTCATACTTCATTGGTAGCTAGGTGGATTCGGAATTCTAGATAGAAAACCATTCCTTCAGAAATGAAGATATCAGCTGGGTTCAGTGGCTCAGCCTGTAATCCCGTGCTTTGGGAGGCTGAGGTGAGTGGACTGCCTGAGCCCGTGGGTTTGAGACCCACCTGGGCAACTTGGCAAGACCTCAGCTCTACAATAAATCATTTTCCACCAGCAGCCCCGATTTATGCATTTTTAGTTATTTTGTCTTGAGTTGGTCAGAGTCTTCAAGAAAGATCGCCCCATCTGCTACTTAGATAGTTTGAATCTGACTGCTAGTTTTGGAAACTGAATTAGGTATAAGACTGGTGAGATGAGGAAAGGGTACTACTCAGTTAGCGCCTTATTTTCAGTTTGGAATCTCTGCCTTCAACTGTGCATAAAGCCCTCATGCCAAAAACCATGCATCTGACCTTCTCTAGAAAATAAACCTCAAGTTCTCTCTGGGGTGGTAGACTATGGAAGGGATTCAGAGACCTATTTCTTTTCTTTTTTTTTAATTGACACATTAAAAAAGTACATATTCACAGGGTACACAGTGATGTTTTGATACATATAATGTATAAGTGATCATCAGATCAGGATAATCAGCATATCCATTATCTCAAGTACTCATCATTTATTTGTGGTGAGAACATTCAATATCCTCCTTCTAGCTATTTGAAACTACATAATATATTATTGTTAACTATAATTATTTCTCAAATAGATCTAAGTCAGTTCTCTTTTTTTTCTTGGTATTACTTTTATCTTCACCTCCACAGTCCCCCAGTGCCCCTAATTCCTGAATCTTTATGGGTATTCCGCAGTATAAATCAAACTGCATCTCAACTTTCTCCCCTGTCAGCTTAAATCTGGGCTTTCTTAAATCAGTTTACAAGCACAATTTGTTTAGCAGAGTCTAAGTTTAATCCAGTGTTTAGAGACTTAGTGCAGTTTAAGGCACTGTTTTGTGTAGTTTATAAAATTTTTGCTCATGTAAAATACCTTCTACCTCCTCACCCAGACCAAACCCCTGTTCCCCTTCAAGAAAGTGCTACCTTGGCATCTTAATTTGTCCTTTGCCACTCCAAAAACCACTGCCATCTTGTCATTTTACCCTTCCCTTTACTTTTACAGTAAATATACATATGATTTACTTGTAAGTGACATGCATGGCTTTATGACCGCTCTTCTACTCGTTTTTTTTAAAGTTGAATTTCTAGGAACTAGCATTCAATCTCCTTACCCTGACAATAACATCTTTGCAGGTAGAGGCCATATTTACCTCCCCCTCAGCACTATAACTGACATACAAAGATACTTGTCCATTCATTTGACAAATGTTTATTAAGTACCTACTGTGCACCAAGCACTGTGCTAGGCACAGTGTTTGGAGCTATGAAGAAAACCACTCATGCTGCTTACAGTGTAATGGGGACCTGAAGTCTAATGTTGATGTCAGACCCCCTTTCAAGTCCTAGATAAATAACAAACAGCAAAAAAATTAGTAAATAATATATATCCATAAAAATAGTAAAACACATTTGTAAATACATTTTTAGTCACTAAGCATCACTGAGTCTGAGTAGTAACTATTTGACTCACCGCCATCTTTTTTTTTAGTGACAATTCTGTTTTTCAGCCATTCTTTGGTTTCTTCTTTGACATCCTGAGCAAGTTCTATGACCACCAAAGGTGTGAAAGAACTTTCATAAGTATCCAGAGCTGACAAGGTCACTTTCATCTTTGATAAACCTGCTAAAAATTAAAATAAAAAGCAAAAATGAGCTATCATGGCAAAGAGAAATATGCTATAAACAGTTTGCATTTTCTCACAATTACAACTAATTCTGGCTTTTAAGAAGAAGGAAAATTTCTCATGATACAGGTGGGTTATATGACAGACTCAACCAATGGTTTAAAGCACAGGTGGTAACCAAACTTTGGATAAAACATCATCCTTTTCAGTGAGCAGCTCAGAATACAGCACAGGGAACATTCAGGTGAACGAAGGATAACAGTGTCAAATGTGCTTTCCCACAAGAGGAGAAAAAGTATTTACAAAAGATATAACACCTGAATAGGATTTAGAAGAATGAGTAACAGCTTGCCAGATAGGCAATGAATGGTTTCCTAAGTAGAGGAAATAGCATTTTGCTACAAAATAATTATGAAAAATAGCTAAGCTCAGAGAAATACAAATGGTTAGATATAGAAGTGGGTGGGAATGAGCTGGTATCTAATGAGGGCCTCTAACTACAAAGGTTTTGTCTAATCCACAATGGGAGTCCCCAGTTAATCATGAGCAGAGAGTTGATGCAGTCAGTAGGGAGCTATTACAGATCACAAAGGGTCAGCCCAGAGTGTGTGAGACCAGCTAGGAGGCCATTAGAGTAAGAAGAGCTGGCCTGAACAGTGACAATGAAGAGAAAAGGACAGATTGGAGGTTAAATCTACAGAAACTGACAACTGAACTAAATGGAATGACTAAAAAAAGAAAATAAAAGGAAGATGTTTAGTAAGTAATGAGTGGCCAGATTGTAATTATATGGAACTCCCTACAGTACCCATCTCAGCTATTCAGGACCACTGCTGTCCATTTCCTCCAAAACAACATGTTCTAAAAGTGACACATTAACTAAGGACACAAGCCAAGACTTCCACTTCCAGGAAAGCAGATTAGGGGATTCAAACTCTTCTGCTGAAGACAACCAGACAATACACATCCACACTCACGTGTGTGTGTGTGTGTGTGTGTGTGTGTGTGTGTGTGTACACAGGTTGAGCATCCCTCATCCAAAAATCTGAAATGCTCCAAAATTCAAAATTTTTTGAGCACCGACATGATGCTACAAGTGGAAAATTCCACACATACTTAACATAAACTTTATTTCATGCACAAAATTATTTTAAAATATTATATAAAATCATCTTGAAGCTACAAGTATAGGGGTATTAAAAACATAAGTAAATTCTGTGTTTTAACTGAGGTCCTATGCCCAATCTTATTATGTATATGCAAACATTCCAAAATCCAAAACACTTCTGGTCTCAAACATTTTGGTTAAGAAATACATAACCTATATTTTTAAAAAATCTGTCTATGAATATTAAAAAGCCAAATAAGCTGAGTGTAGTGGTACAGGCCTATAATTTCAGCATCTTGGGAGGCTAAGGAGTGAGGCTCACTTGAGGCCAGGAGTTTGAAACAAGCCTGGGCAACACAGCAAGACCACAACTCAAAAGAAATAAAGAAGTCAACAAGTCAGTGGGAAATAAAAAAGGTCTGTATCCAGAAGAAACAGAGAAGAGGCTCAACATTCACAACAAGTTTACCTAGACCCTCTGACAATTTGGGAAGAGGCAGCTGAGTGGGTGAGGTGCTAAGTAAAGCATGTGTTGTCCTTGAGAGGTTAAGGGACAAAAAGTAGAATTAGTACAGAGCACACCAATGAGGAGGGTCAGATAAAATCCCTATTTTGAACTGGGACCTGAAAAGAATACATCCTAAAAATAGAATGAATTAGACCACTCCTGACAGAAACTAAATTCTAGGTTCATATCATCTGTAAGGAGACAAGGTAATATTTGTGAAAATGAAAAATAACAACGAGCAAGAGAAACAAACACCTAATAGATCCAAATAAGGGAGTTAGTTGAACACACTTTAAAATAATTACCATTTGTTCAGAGACTTAAAAAATAAAACTGAGGATTTTGGCAAAGAACTAGAAACTTTTAAAATGGAAATTCTAAAATTTTAAAATATAAGAGTCAAATTTAAGAACCCAAGGAAGGTTTTACAGAAAATTAAGCAAAGCTAAAGAGAAAAGTTAATGAATTATAAGACAGGAATAAAGAAAACATCTAAATTGAAGCCCTGGGAACAAAAAGAGAAAAAAATACAGAAAAGAGTAAAAGACAAGGAAATACAGGGAGTCCCTGAAGTAGAAAAGATATTAGGACTAAAGTAATATCTGAACAAACACTGAGAATTTCCCAAAACTGACAAAACATATTTAGGCACAGATTTAAGAATCTCTATACCCAAACAGGATAAATTTTAAACGCATAGTAAAACAAGAGAAAAACCAAGAGACAGGAGTCTTAAAAGCAGAAAAATAAAGACAAAATACTTTGAACAGCAACAATTAGATGGATAGCTTCACAAAATACTTTGAAGAGCAACAGTTAGATGGATAGCTTCACGGTAAAACAATGGAAGCCATCATATCATCAAATGAAATAGTATCTTCAATGTGCCAAGAGAACGTTGTGGCCGATCAAAGATTAGACACTCAGTCAAAATATGCTTCCAGAATAAAAGAAAAACAAAGCTATTTTCAAACAAACAAAAATTGTGAGGATTCATAACCAATATATTCCCACTAAGGAAAATGATGGTAAAGGGTATTCTGAAGACAGAAGGAAATGATCACAGATGATCTGGTATCTGAAACACAACAATCCGAAGAATATTCATAATATAAGTCTTCCCCAACCTCTTTTAACCTTATTTCTCCTTTATTGAATGCCCACTACATATGAAACACTGTATTAGGTAACTACATACATGATTCTATGTAATCTTCCTAAAGCCCTATGATTTACACTTTTAAAAAAAGGAAAATCGGCCAGGCGTGGTAGCTCAAACCGGTAATCCCAGAACTTTGGGAGGCCAAGGCAAGAGAGGTTTGAGACCAGCCTGGGCAATTTGGTGAGACCTTGTCTCTACAACAAATCAAAAAATTAGCTGGGCGTGGTAGTATGCACCTGTAGTTCTGGCTACTTGGAATGCTGAGGCTGAAGGATCGCCAGAGCCCAGCAGATTGACGTTGGGGTGGCTGTGAACGTGCCACTGCACTCCAGCCTGGGCGATGGAGTGAGACTCAACTAAAGGAAAATCAAATGAAGTTACTTTGCTAAGCTCACAGTAAGCAAGAAATTAATTTTCCATGATATAGAGCTTAAAACTAGAAAAAACAAAGTCATTAGAAATATTCAAATTCTACATGGTATTTCCTACTAAATGAAATCTTAATTTTGAATTGCCTACCATAAAACTCTTATTAAAGATGAGCTAAGACAGAATTCAAGAGAAAATTACAAAGTGAAGCCATATCACAGAACCTATTAGCCTAAAGCAAAATTAAATGTATTAAAAATAAAACAGCTTCCAAACAAATATTAACACAAAAATGAATAAAAAATACTCAGAAGGCTGGGCTCGGTGGCTCAGCCTGGAATCCCAGCACTTTGGGAGGCCGAGGTGAGTGAATTGCCTAAGCCCGTGGGTTTGAGACCTGCCTGGGCAACTTGATGAGACCTCATCTCTACAATAAATCAAAAATTACCTGGGTGTGGTAGCGCGCGCCTGTAGTTCCAGCTACTTGGAAGGCTGAGGCGGAAGGATCGCCGGAGCCCAGCAGGTCAAGGCTGCGGTGGCCGGGAGTGGCCACTGCACTCCAGTCTGGGTGACAGAGTGAGACTCCGACTCAAAAAAAAAAAAAAAAACTCAGAAGCCAAAAAAGTAAACCTCAGACTAAAATCATAATCAACTGAAGACAACACCAAAATGGCCTGATCACAAAGGATTCTTCCTATCTGGAGAATTCTATCCATCTAGTCATGCATTCATGCATTGCTTATGGACAACAGGGAAAATTCTGAGAAACTGGCTGTTAGGCAATTTTGTCATTGTACAAATATCATAAAAGTGTATTTATACAAACTGTAAATGGTACAGTCTACTACACATTAGGCTATATGGTAGAGCCTATTGCTCCTAGACTACACACCAATACATCATGTTACATACTGAATATTGTAGAAATTTTAACACAATATTATGTATCTATGTATTTAAATAGAAAAAGTACAGTGAAAATGCGATATCAAAGATTTTTTTTTAAGTGGGAGTCTTACTCTGCCACCCAGGCTAGAGTGCAGTAGCATGCTCAAGGCCACCCAGCATTGACCTGTTGGGCTCCAGCGATCCTTCCGCCTTAGCCTTCCAAGTAGCTGGAACTACAGGCATGCACTACCATGCCTGGCTAATTTTTGATTTATTGTATATACGAGGTCTCACCAAGTTGCCCGTGCTGGTCTTGAACCCGAGGACGTAGGCAATCCACTCGCCTCAGCCTCCCAAAGTGCTGGGATTACAGGTTGAGCCACCAAGCCCCACCCAATATCAAATATTTTTAAATGGTACACCTGTACAGGACACTTACCATGAATGGAGCTTAGAGGACTGAAAGCAGCTCTGGGTGAGTCGGTGAGTGAGTGGTGAGTGAATATGAAGGCCTAGGACATTACTAAACACTATGATAGACTTTATAAACACTCTACACTTAGGCTACACTAAATTCATCAAAAGAAAATTTAATCTTTCTTCAGTGATAAATTAACCTTAGCTTACTGTAACTTTTTTACCTTATAAACTTTTAATTTTTTTAACTTTTTTACTCTTTTGCAATAATGTTTAGCTTAAAACACATTGCACAGGCATACAAAAATATATTTATCTTTATTCTAGAAAACTTTTTCTATTAAAAAAAATTTTTTGCTTTCTTTTTAAACTTTCTTGTTAAAAACTAAGACACAAACACATTAGCCTAGCCCTATAAAGGGTCAGGATCACCAATATTACTGTCTCCCACCTCCACATCTTGTCCTACTGGAAGGTCTTTGGGGGCAATAACTTGCATAGAGTTATCAACTCTTATGACAATAATGCCTTCTTTAAGATTACC